TGTAATTAGTTTTTTATTTCGTCAATATTTAGTACTCCATACATGTACCACAAGTTTGATGTAACGGAAAATCTTCTTTTTTATAGTGCCAAAGTTTGGATTTTGATAGAACTAAACATGGCCCCGGAAAGCTTTTGCAGGAACAGCGCTACCGCCCAATTCAAGTACTGCTACCGTGCGAGCTTCGTCTTTAGTCACGTTCGTCTGGCTTAGCTTGTTTTTCAGCTGAAATAGTGTTTTTTTCTCACAACGGCTCCGTTTGACTGGAGGGTTTTTTGAGGAAAGTGGAGGAAAGTAAATGAAAAACACGGTTCTAGATGAAATGTTGTGAGAGAAAAACACTGTTCCGGATAAAAAACAAGCGGATCAAGCCGGGTTCAAGGGCACGCAAACGGGGCCAACAAATCAACCGAAACAGTATTTTTGACTTGTTTTTTCGGCGAAGCGAACGGGGCCTAGGGCCGGGTAAACGAACGGCCGGCTCTGCATTACTTGTCCGCACGTACAGAGCTAAAATTGTGTCCAACGACCGCTACCCAAAATATAAGACCCATTTCACGTTTGGGTAGCGCTATAGGCAAAATGTTCAATACCTATTTTTTTTTATCTTCTCCAGTAACATGACTTAAAAGAGAACCTTTTTTGTAAATGGGTCTTCAGAAAAGAAGATATTTAAATTTAGGTTATACCTCTTCTAACATTTAAAATTGATCTTTCATATAGATACTCTGTTGGAGGTTAGATATTCTATTAGAGACATTTAGGTTTGGGTCTTCTCACGAATCTAGACAGTGAAGCCAATCCGCCGGGACGAAACGAAACGAAACCGCGGCCGAGAATTTTGCAAGCCCCGCGCCTCCTCGATCTCGACTTGGGAGCAAGCAGCGTCGTGCGTCTTCGTCCGCAGTGGATTTTCGGTCGGCCCAATTGACACGGTAAAACGAGGGCACGAGCGTAGTGAAAACTGAGAGGGGACCGGCGTGGCGTTGGCCAAGAGATCCTGCTAGTCCCAAGTCCCTAGAGACGAGCAGGCGGCGGGCAGCGGTTACGACCAGCGGGGCGAGGCGCGGCTTGCGCACAGGCTGCCGCGAATGAATGCCAAGGCACCGTTTAGTTTCCCCCAGAATCCAAAATTTTTTGCGCGCGAACCAGGCATTCGGGAATCTTATGATATATCATGAGTCTTACGACCGAAAAAAAAACCAATTACACAGTTAGCCGAGAAATCTTGAGACTGCTTTTAAGCTCAAATAATCATAATTGACAATTTTTGCCGCGAATGAATTCTGATGGCCAAAAACCAAACGCCGTTGTCCGCGTGGGCCGGCTTTCCGCAGGTGGGGGCTCGCTCAGGAGTTCGTGACCCTGACATGGTCAGTGTGATTTTGGCGCTAGGTAGCTGCGAATCTCTGTGCCCGGCCTGGCCGGCGGCCACCAGCCGTAGCCTGCTGGAGCCCGGTGGCGGCGCATGGATGAGGAACGACAGGCGCGCGCGCACGGGAGTGTAGCGAGTAGCGACTTCGACAGCCCGCGCGGCGAGGCAAGCCGAGGCGAGGCGGCACGTCCATTAATGCTAACAAGGTCTTGAAAGGGTTCACGGGACGGCGCCTTTGGCCTTTTGGCCGGCCGCACGCTCCACCACTCCTGATGGCGTGCGCAAACTCCGCGCGAACCTCCACCAATGCGAGCTCGAGCGGCGGGCGGCGCCGTGGCGCTCACAACGGCCGCCGACGCCTCCCACGCGCGCCTGGTCATTATGGCTGGGGTTGCCGGTGGCGGCGCGGTGGGCGGCGGCTACTCGTAGCAATGGAAGGGGAGTGCTTTGGATTCACTTACACTTATTATCGGGTCATCACTAATCCCGATCCGCGCTATCATGTGACCCGCGAGCCGTTGAAGCTGCGCGTGACGCCGAGCTTCACACACCACACGCGTCCGAAACGCCTTCATTGCCGTGTGCCCGTGTCGGCGTGTCCTTGTCCTGTTCATCATCACCTCTCTTTGTTTTGCAAGGAGGTACTGGGCCGTGCCATTACTAAGTAGTAAAGCGATCTATTTTGATTAATTATCCCTGACAAAGTCAATGCACAGTTAGAACTATACTCTATACATTGGTCGTATTAGTATGGCAGCAGTCCTAAACTTTTCTAGTTCCAGGCTTCTTCCAATTTTCCTCAGTATGCACGACAGCACGAGCACGATACTCCCAAACTACCAGCAACCCTGCGATACATGGTTGCTCAATGCTGATCCACGACTAGTCTATCTGTTGGCGCTTGTACTAGTAGTAGTAACTATAGAAGGAAGAAGGAAAAGTAATCCGACCCCAACCCGAACGGTCCAATAGGACTATATACACGAACCTAAACAGCCTACAAAACAATACGGCCCAGTAAGAAACGAAGGGCCAGGTGTCCTCGGCTGTTGCTACTCGCAGTAGTGTCTAGCCCACTGCCCCCTTGGGCCTTGGCAGTCCGGCCTCAGCTCAACCAGCACGAAAGGCTCGCGTCGCCTTGTTAACTCCCCTAATTAGCGTTTCGCGGATGAAGTTATTTTTCTATACATAGTTCTCTCTGCGTTTAAATCCTTACGGGCCTACGGCGGCGGTTCCATTCGTTCCCGGCTAAATGCATCTGTCCAGGCTATTATAGCTATTGTATCCCAAAAAAGTTGTCCACTAGCCTTTCTATCCGATCTTCTATTTTTCACCGCTGGCCATCCCGCAGTCGTCGCAAGCGAGACTCGCTTGCTATCCGCGGCGCCAAAGGAATCCCGCGCGCAGGCTTCGCCTCTCCCGCGGTCGATTTCCTTCTCCGCGCGCCAACCTCTCCCACTCCCGCGTGCGCCCCCTTGTCGTGCTCCTCTTTTTCTTCCCATCCCGCGCTGCTTCTTCTCGGCACCTGCGTCTTCCTCTCTCCACGACGCGGATCCCTTCGAGGTCCTCATAATCGTGCCGAGGCACCATGTCGCAGGCACAATCATAAGGGGATATGATGTATGCGAGCCACAGCCACGGGGACCCCAATTCTTCTGAGCTCCACTCGTTCCCCATCTTCTCGGCGGCCAGCGATTGGGAGCAACGGCAGTTGCCGTCGTTGCCTTGGTTGCAAAATGCAGGGGTACCTGGGCTATGGCGTGGAGTTCTTTCTCCCAATGCTGCCCCCGCTGCATCAGCCCCCTTGTCTGGCATGTATTCCGGTGAGATAGATCCAATTTTTTTGTTTTTTAATAATCAAGCCAACTCGAAATGTGCATGTAAGCTCAGATGCAATTTGTGAATAGCTATCTATTGCGAGTACTTGTGAATGAAAGCATTCTTGGCAATTATGTTACGTAAATAACTCAGATTTGGTGAGCTCTGAATCATGAAAGCATTCAATATACGTTCGGGCTCTTGTAGGATGTACACTAGGGCCAAATTAAACAGCCAAACGTGGCGGGGTAGTGCTAAAGGAGATTTTTGTTGATCATACTTGGGATATGAGAAGGAGAAAAGGAACCAAACTTATAATAAGGTATAAGCCTACTTCAACATTGTATTATGTAAATGATTAACAGTGTTCGATGATGTCCACCTCTATAAATGATTACGTTTATTTGAAACCCTCTAACCATTTAAATAGATGGCTTTTAAATAATGCCCCCCTCTACTAATCAGAGAGTTGTCTTCATTTTGTTTTGTACTGATTGTCAAGCTAATTATAGATATACGACCGGAAACAATAAACCCCAACCCAGCCAAGGTCCTGGGAGAAGAGAGAGAATATACCTACCGTACGAGTACGACGGCTCAAAGCACGAATATTTAATCATTTTTTTGAAAAAAAAAAAGACTGGACAACTACCTATTATTATTATTATTATTATTATTATTATTATATATATATAATATAATATAATATAAAAACCGTCCAGACCGGACATTACACCATAGTAGGGTCTTAAAAAAGCCTCACAACAACAAAAAGTGACAGATAATAAGATAGCAACTAAAATAACAGTAAAAAGTAGCCAGTTAGATTGGGACGTCAACTCGCGCCACTGCACCACTCAACAAAAAAATGTAACAAATTCGATAGGAAACAACTCTACAAAAATATCACGCCAAAGCTACACAACATATGCATTATAGCACAACTAGTTTGCCGATATTTGTATGGCAAATTGGCAATTGATAAGCGCGTTATTTGTAACATTACAAAAACTAGTTTTGCTGATACTTTTGTTATGACAAGCGCATTATTGAATATTGAGTGCAATGGTGGTTCACATTGCGCGCATTGGATATCACTACGTGTGAAAGTGTGTATTACAAAACTACTAGTTTTACCTGCGTGCTGATACTTTATAATCTTTTTTCAACTGACAAGCGCATTTTTCTCTCAACAATATTGAGTGCAATTTTTCAAATGGTTCACATTGACCCACTGCACCATTGGATATCACTACGTGTGAAAGTGTGTAGAGCACAAGACTACTGTTAGTGGTGACATGGGTACTTAGTTATTTTTTTACCTATGGAGAGAGTGCTACCTGCCATTTGCATCTGGTCTCTGTTCGTTTTGCTCTCAATCAAATTCTCTAACTTTACTGAGCTTATATCAATCAATTGCTATTCATATTAGTTTTATTAAAGACGACATGAAATATGTCTTCATAGCAACATCAATAGATGTTAATATTTTTTTCCTAAAAAAGTAAAACTTTTATGACAACTAAAATCTAGGACGGTAGGAGTACCGTTTTGCTTGATCACCATGAACTCATGATCTTACATCAGCCAATATAATAGTCCATGCATGCATGGTTTACGCCGTAACGACCTTCTTAATTGTTTCATACACATAATCTGAACAGGTTGATCGTACGTCTAGATAAGTCAACGTAGCATGATCGTCTTGACACCTAGTACAATAGTACTATGGTACATTGGTGCTCTCTAGTCTCTAACCATTAAATCTCTGCAGATAAGCCAAATAAATCACGAAGATTAGTTCAGCTTAATCCAAACATGACACGGTGAACACTGCAGCGGGGTTGCCCTTCTCCGCCACATCCAACTCTCCCGTCGCAAACGTGCAAGATGAGGCCTCCGAAGAGCACGCCTCGCGAGCCGGGTCGGCTATGTCGACGACGACGTCGATGAACGCGGCCACGATGGCGCAGTGCGTGTCCACGTCGTTGGCTCGCAGGTACCAGCCGAGCATCTCCTCCACCCAGCCCCAGTCGCCGATCCCGTGCGCGGCCACCATCTCCTCCATGGACGCCCGGAAATCCGCGTACGGGTCCGCGGACTCGAACGCGACCGCCACGGCGCCGCCGAAAGCCTCCTCCTCCTCCTCCTCCTCCTGTTTGGCGCCCGCGCAGGCGGCGGCGGACTTCTCTTCGAGGATGGAGTTGGTGGCCGACGCACCTGGGTCGAAGAGGAGCCGGTCGGAGCGGACCCCGCGCACGACGGCGTCGTCCGCCGCGTCGTCGCACGCCGCCGCCGACGCCTCGGACGCCGTGGAGAGGCTGTCAGAGCAGCAGTCCTGCCGCGCGGAGGAGGCCGTGAAGGAGGACTCGGTGGAGTCGAGGACGATGGAGGCGATGGTGGTCCTGGCGGCGCATGCCGCCTGCGGCTGCGCGGCGCGGGTGGACTGCGCTCTTGGGTTCTTGCTGGACGGCCATGGCCATGCAGCCGGGCCGGCGGTAGCGGGAGGAGGCGGTGGTGGTAAGGAAGTGTCCCTTGCCTTGCCATGGAAGAGGGAGCTCAGGCCCAGCCTTCTGGTCACCATGGCTACAGCACTGCTCGAGGTGAACCGTGAATCTGAGGAATAGCAGCAGAGGAGGAAAGGTTGGTGCGTGCCTTAACGCTTGCAAACCTTGTGCGACATGGCGACGGCTGTGCAGCTTGGTTTTAAAGGAGTTTGCGAGGGAAAAGGTGAGCAGAAAACGGGCGGGATCTTCTGCGACGTTACGTAGCTGCACACAGGCACGCACGCACGGTTCGGCCTCCAGGCGTTCATGTGTGCACTGGGTAGAACAGTTGTAACTTCACGTCACAGCGCCAGTGTACCGCGTATCCTGTACACAGACGATCCGGACTACAGGAGGCTGAAAAGACCCACACATGTAAACCTGTCGTTGGGAGGGTATGGGCAATTGGGCACACCCGCGCTTGCCCATATCCACACCCATGTCTGACATACCCGCAGGTTCCCCTCCCCACTTTTGCTCATACCCGTTTATATATTCATTGGATAATTGAATATTCAAAATACTTTAATCAAGATATTGCTATAGTCAAAGTTTCCAGGCAGAGGAGAAATCGGGAGGTTCCAATCTGCAGTAAAATGCACAAGAGGGGAATCTCCGGTAACAATCGACTCTTCCAAACGAACGGGGATTTTGAGGAGGAAGAAGAAAACAAGATGGATCGGAGACAGCGGCGAAGCTCGAAGAAAATCGAGGGAGGTGCGACTAAAAACCGAGTGATTAAGAAATCTACGTCCTTGCATTTTCAAAACAACGAACCATGGTGTTATTTTTTACTTTCGTCATCTCTTCTTTCTCCACATGGCAAATAAGGCAATTATTCATAAATTTATCACTAATACAATTGCGTAAAGTTATTTTTATAATCATTATGCCTAAAAAAAATCCTCTCAACTATCTATCACGTTTTTAGTCTCCACAATTCTCTGAGAATGCTTACTTGTAATTCTCGACATTATTAGCACTATCAGGCTATGGTGTTTTTGTTTTGGATGGAAAACCATTCCATCAGCCTAATAAAAGAACATATAAATTTGTACTCAAACACAAATAGCTAGCCTAACATTGTAGACCGTTGTAAAAGTAAAACAATAACCAGTTATAGCTTTATGCCCGCATTGGAACGTAGGAATTTCGTAGAAAGTGTATAAAAATTTTAGAAATAGTTTATTTTTCACAGGAAAAATGTAGGAACGAAAAAATCTCATATTCCAAAGGGGCATAATTTTAACATAAAATCAGATTAATTAACAAAGATAAAAAAAGGCATGGCTATATGGGAGCATCTAATTTAGTTTCATACCGGCTTAAATCCTTGATGCTTGTTGGGTAGCCAAAGCAATCCCGAGGCGGAGCCGGTCCTAGGCCCGTAGTTGGATAGCTGCGGCCTGTAGAGTAGCTGGCCTCTGGGTGACGCCGTGACGGCAATCTTCGCTGCATGCGCAAGAGCGAGCCAAGGGCACCGCGGGCCTGCAGAAGCTAGAAGCCGAGAGGACGGGAAGATGGAACGACGTATCACGATAACAGCCGGAGGTTACGAGAAATAATCGATCCTGCAGTTCCAGCCCTTTCTTAATCAAAGCTGCAGATCGGACTGTCGGGCTATGGGGTGCAGTCTATTGGACTTTAAGAATGCATGAAGGGTCAAAATCTGATTACTATAACTCAAAAAGAAAAATCAGGGTGGTGCGTCTGCACCCACGGTCAATAACTGGGCTTCGCCCCTGATCGGAGAAAGGAAGGAGGAACAAGTCGAGGCTCTCACGGATTGCACAAGGATCTGTTCCATGATGAGAAGCGACGTGGCCGCGGACGCGAAGGAGAAGGAGCTCCCGGACGCGACAGCGACCCCGCACACGACGGCCCCGTCGTCGAGCTCGCACGCGGCGTCCTCCGCAATGGGGCTGGCCGCGAGCGCGGCCGGCGGCGGCGTTGGCGGCGGGGGCGCGAACGCGTGCCCCGACGCGGTCCAGGGGCGGGTGAGGAACTCGAGCGGGTCGAAGTTGCCTAGCTGAACACCGCCGCGCCTGGACTGGGAGCCGCCACCAACGAGCACCGGGACTGGGAGCGGCTCCGCCACCGTCTAGCGTACTCAATGGGGACTGGGAGCGACGAAGATGGATAAACCAGGAATACTCTCCCCGTACCCGCATCTCATCGGGTATTACCCGTACCCGAGCGGGTACACAATTTCCTACCCATACACTACCCGTTTTTGGTGGGTATGGATTTGGGTAGCGGGCATGAATATCCGGCGACAGGCTTGACACATGTGCATGCAAGTCACAACAAGGGCAGGGCAGGACGCATGCAGGAGGGACACGAGGACAGTCAGCCATTTCGCTTGTTGGTTTCTGGCTTATCAGCCAGCTAGCGGTGTTTTTCTCTCACAACGAACCAACGGACTTATCAGTGCAGAAACAAACAGGCCGAATGTCTTTTCAACGAACGCTAGCTTGTCCAATCAAAGATTCATTTCACGAAAAAGATCGAGTCCGGTTGCATTCCTACACCCTGTTCGTTTGGCTGTGGCTTGTCGTAAACGATTGTAAATTTCTAACCGAAACAATATTTTTCTCTCACACAAACCAGCCAACAGTATTTCTTCACGAACCAGCAACGAAACGAACCAGGCAACCGAACAGCCCGCTAGTATCGTTGATTCGTGCAAGATCACTAGACCATGCATGGCTCCTCCCAATGATGATCAGTGGCCTGTGCAGGGACTAGCCTGTTTCATCGTGTTCTCGCACGTTCGTGACCCGCTCGCTGCTAGTGTCAAAAGATTCGTGAGGAAACTCGCATCGCCGGCCGGGAACAGTGCACAATGCTGAGTTGGTGATGCAGCTGAAACAGTAGCGCGCTGCCGACTCGTGTGAAGCCAGGGCCCGGCCTCAGCGGACAGTGTGCAGTGGAGCACGCAGCAGCCGGGCAAGCTGAAACCAGACGACCAAAACCGCACGCTGCACCTGCATTTAACCCCATGACGTGAAAGCACGAGGGGAGCAAGCAGCAGGCGAGAGCTTTTATTCCCCGCCTGCCGTGAAGAGCAACTGTGGGAGATTGGACGTGCCTTCGCCGCTGCAAAGTTTGGCCGACATCTCGCCGGCCCCATCCGGCCATTGTGCGTATCGGTGTCCGCTCGTTTGTACTGACGCTGCCGTTGGCAAAAGGAATATTTCAAATTTTGCCGCGAAGGACGGACCGCCCCATCTTAATCTTACCAATTGTCGCCAGTGTCAGGTCACTGTCTGGACTGTGGACCATGTGTATGATCGTTTGCGCTTTGGTGTAGCCTATCCGATCCATCCATGATATGCTTAACTTGCTAAATTTCCTTATCTCGGAACAGCTATATACGCATTCTGAAGGGTGTACACTGTATAGGTTTCAAACATGGGGTGTGGAGTCGTGGAGATAACCAAACAAGGTGAACGTTGTGGTTGACACTGTCTGTCTGTCTGTGGCTGAGACCAAGAGGATTGTGGAAAGGCCATGGGCCGGAAAACCCGAAATGGAGTAGCGGCAAAATGGAGAGGTTTTTTTTCTTCTATACAAACAGTGGCAAAATGGAGTTGACGAGGGCCATGCATTTAAAGGAAGATATCCTGTTAGTGTTAGACAACGATTCTACGTAATTGCGTCATCGTCAGCATTATTGATGGTCCAGCAGATCGTACCGAGTTCATGATTTATAGTAGAGCTCGTAGGAAGCACGGACGAGCGCTAATAGGAGAACATATACGTATCAAGGATTCAAGACAAGTTCGTCTGTCTTGTTTCCTAGCGGACGCTCAAGCGTAGCGATCAGATCGAACGCGACCGCCGTGAAAGCTACAACTCGTCTCTCTTCCGTAGTACTGGTATGCTCATCCTGGAAAAGCAATACTGGTGTGTTTAAAGTGGTTTTTGCAGAAGTAAGCTGGATAAACTAGCGCTCATTTTATTCATCTAGTTAACTGCTATTGCAGAGTTTTTTTTTATAAGAACTTCTATTGTAGAGTTACAATCATGCCGAAAAGCTCGCTAAAATGAGCTTATGTAAGGGGACGTATGGATCCAAATAGGATTTAACAATCCAAGAATAAAAGCCAGAATCCGATCCAAACAAGGAGGCTCATAGGGGATTCTACTACAAGTTCACATAATCCAAAGCAATAATCTAGTATCCTCTCTCCATGACCTTCTTGGGGATTCTAGCATGAGAATTGACGGTTTTGCCCATACTTGAACCTTTAACTTCATGTAGTGTGTGAAGGAGTCATGGGTATAGATTCAAACAAACTAGATTATTACTGTCCACAATCCTAATTCTCAACCGTCAAGGAACCAAACTAGGCCTAAGGGGGTGTTTTGTAATTAATCTATATTTAATATAGTGTAAATTAGTGTCCAAACATTCTGAGGTGGAACATGTAACCACGCCTGTTGCTCGATCAGGGATGAAGAAAGGAGATGTTTTTACCCACAGTGCGCAGAATGACAGGACACGGAAGCAGCAACAAAGATCACAGACGCCCAAATCTCTACCGAAAAGATTGCCACAGTCCACATGAAAGCTAGCCTTGTCTTGCTCACTAGCAGTAGTAGCAGCCTAGCAGAGGCGGCCAGTCGGCCAGGGGACGGCAACCCGCCAAGCTTTCTTGTACCTTTCTTCAATGCCCCATGCCTGTTCGCCATCATTACTTCTTGCATGGTTTGCGATCAGTGCCGCTGCTACTGCCCCCACCATCAGAGAGCGAGATTTACCGAAGAAAGCGGCATATGGGGTCTCTCACGTGGGGCAGAATAGCAGGGTCTACTGTACTCGTACCAACCTTGCTCCTTGAAGGGGGTGTTGAGATCTATATCTATCCATATCCATATTTCAATTTTCAAAAAAAAAGTCTGTACTCGTGTATCCTAAAATAAATCTCCATCCCACATTTTAAAAATAAAAAACAATCTCAACTTTGAGCAGATATATATAGAAAATATTTAATATTTATGATACCAGATGAGTATCATTAGATTAAAAATG